ATATATATATATATATATATATATATATATATTTAGATGTCTATGTGTTCGTTGTATGTCCATCCAGCTCAAGCGTATGTCTTTTGCAGTGTTTTTTATTTCTTTTGTCTTCAGTTATTTGCTCTGCTTTTTATCTTGTCGCCAATCCAATTATGCGGTGGTATGAACGAGGAGAATATTTCGATAAATCCGTAAGTTGCGGTGTATGCACACCTGAACTGTACAATACATACTAATATATATATATATATATATATATATATATCGCACCTCATATCTGTAAATTGCATATATATATATATATTTGTATACACATATATTATATGCACAATACATGTATATATATAATATATATCATATATATATCATATATATATGATATATATATATATATATATATGTATCATATATATCATACATATATATATATAATAGGCCGCCGATATTTTCCGTCTTTTGTTTCCTCGCGATTATTTGTTCGGCTCCATCGCCAGTTGTACTTCGGTTATAATAAAAATAGCAAATACTATCTATAGTCATACATCAAATTTATATATATGTATATTATACGTATATTATATATATATGTCTATAAGATATGTATATTAGGTTTAATGTACGTCATAGACGAATCTGTTCTTTGCTGTTCAACTCTAAACCCTATCACTAACGCAATTAGAACGTAGTATAGAGACATACATATTTATATATATATGTATATATATATATATACACGTATATATATATAAATTATATATATTATATATATATTTGATATAAGCATTAGAATATGTGTGTTGTTTTTGTTTGTTTATTTGTTGCAGTTGGCCGTGGGGATGTTCTACGACTTCTTTTTTCTTGTAAGTGAAAAAAGTAAAAAGATAAAGAGTTAAGGTGGATATATTCTGTTTGTTTTTGTGTTTGTTTATTTGTTTGTTTATTTTCTATTTGCTTATTTTAAGCATCTGCACTGCTAGGGTTTGTTTGGGGTTTGTTTGTACTCTTGTATTGATTTATCTTTTCGTTTATTTGCTTTTATTAGCTGCTTTTCTCGTTCTTTCGGGGTTTGTTTACTCTTTTATTTGTTTATCTTTTCTACTTTTTTATCTTCTTTGTTTTTGTGCTGCAGATGTTTATGTGGTTCAAATTGACAGTCTGGTCTCTCACGTGGGCTAACTGCTGCTGCTGCTGCTGCTGCACTTCGCTGCTGTTGCTGCACTTTGCTGCTGCTGTATTTTGGTGGTGCTGCTGCTCTGTGCTGCTGTTCCTGCACTCGCTTGTTGCTGCGCCTATTGCTGCTGCTGCACTTTGCTGCTGCTGCTGCATCTCCTTCTTCTACTTTTTTACTGATATGTTTATGTTTTTCTGTTTGAATTGCATGAAGCGTCTGATGGTGTTACTGTTGAAATATTTGTTTTTCTGTTTATTCGCAGCGATTCGTATGTTGATTTTATTTGTTTGTTTATTTGTTTCTTTTTTGTTTTGTTTGCAGGGCGTTTGTATTGCACGTGTTGTTTATGAAGGGATATATAAACAGAAAAACTTTATTTGTTTTGCAGCATCTAACTCAGTTTATTGCTATTGCCTATGCAGTCGCCCACTGTCTGTACAACAAGTGCGTATGAAGAAAGCATCACAATAAGGTTCTAATTAATTAATTTTTAAATTGATCTATTTATTTATTTAGTCTAGTATTTTATTCTATCATTACTTAGCTGGTTCTGACGAAGGATGTGGTGTCTGTCTCACTGTCTGTCTGTCTGTCTGTCTGTCTGTTTTCTGATTGAATTAAAAGCTTTTTCATCTTCTTTTCTTTATTATTTAAGCATAATTATTTTATTCTTTTTATCTTTTTCACGAAATGCATCGGGCGTTTGTGCGGCGCTGCAGGTGGCCGATTATCCCCGCTGCGTTTGTTCAGTTTGCAGCAGTTTGTAATTTTATGAAGGTAAAAATATAAAAAAAATTAAATATAAACTTTAGAAAACATTTATGCTTGCGGAGGTTTGTCTCTAGCTTTGTTTTTCTTTCTCTCTGTCTATCTGTACTTCTATCTGTCTCTCTCTGTCTCTTTCCTTGCTTGATGTTTATCTTTTTATACTATTTGTCTCTCTCTCTTTCTGTTAGAATCTGCTGCCCGTTAGAGTTTTCTGATGATGATTATTACTAGATAGCAAACGCCAGCAGCATTTATAGAAGAGGAAGTGAAGAGTAGTTGTTTGACTGTGTGTTTATGTGTATTGTTTGTTATTGTATGATTTATCTAATCGAGTTTATTTGTTTATTTATTGCAGATGCATTCTTATACTGAGATAAATCTAGAGTTCTACAACAAAAAAGACACAGAAGACGCTTGCAAATACTACCCAGCGAATGTGAGCCTTTCGCTGCTGTCCTATATATATATATATATATATA